ACACTTAACAAGTGGATATGGATATACTTGTATAGAAAGCTTATTTATTAAATATTTAATCCAACACATTCATTAATTTTCTTTTTCGGCATAGTCCCTTTATTTATCAGGGGTCGCCACGGCGGAATGAACCGCCAACTTATCCAGCACGTTTTACACAGCGGACGCCCTTCCAGCTGCAACCCATCACTGGGAAACACCCATGCACTCACATTCACACACATACACTACGACCAATTTAGCTTACCCAATTCACCTACAGGGCATGTCTTAGGACTAGTGCGGGAAACCAGAGCTTCATGTGTGAATATTTTGAAAGCACATACACATGCATGAGTGTGCATTTACATATTAATAATAAACATATACAGTACGTACACATATATTATGTAAAAACGAGCTTTTTTGTATGCAATTCATCATGATTAATTCAGAAGTGCATTTCAGTTATATTTTTATATGAGGATAACACTGTATGATCTTCCAGGAAATCTCTTTCTAACATATTTATGATCATATTCTGCCAATCCACTGTATCAATAATTAACATAGAATAATTAACATCTAAAGTATACATGCATTTATTTAACTGATGAGTAACTACTGTGTTATAACACAAAATTGCATATATTAATATATATTAACATATGTGATATCAAAGTTTATTGTATATATATTTCTTTGTTGACAAATAGTTTGAAGGATAGTTCAAAAGACTTACTAAAGACTTACTAAATACATACAATTAATAATTTGCAGCTGTACAGTGTAATAGTGCATAAAACGATTCTTGCTCTAAATATAGCTGATATTGTTACTGCAGTGTACAGTAGATAGTTACTAAACGTGTACAGTTAAGCAGCTTTTTTTCATTCCAGATTCACAAACACACAAATAATGTCCTCTCCTATCTGATACATCAATGAAAAGCTAATTTTGTCAGCTTTAATGTTGTATTTCCGTCCAATATTGTCCTACAACAAACAATACATCAATGAAAAGCTAACTTTCACATCTCAGTATGGCTAATTCTATGGTCCAGGATCACATATATCCTCTATATTAGTTTTTAAACCCGCTGATGTAGTGATCACATGCAGTAAAGAGAGTTTGAGATTCCTGTCCATTTTTGTCAATAGAAAAAATATACAAAGTCTTTCTCAAATATGAGTGATTTTGTTAAAAATCATTAGAAAATGAAGTACAAATCATATTCTATGAAGGAATTTAGTAAATGTCCTACCGTAATTATATCAAAAACTAGATTTTTCTATTAGTAATGTGCATTGTTAAGCTGTTTTTTTTTTCTTTCCAGATTTAAAAACACTCAAATAATATCCTACCCTATCCATCATGGAAAAGCTAGTTTGGTCAGATTTTATGCTGTATTTCACTCAAATATTATCCTATAACAAACCATACATCAACGAAAAGCTAATTTCGTCAGCTTCCATGTAATGTATACCATCTTAATTTAAAAATATGGCTATTTTTGTTGTCCAGAGTCACATATATCCTCTGGATTAGTTTTTAAACTGGCTGATGTAGAGAACACATCCAGCAAAGGGTTTGAGACTCCTGTCAATTTTTGTCAGTAGAAAAATATACACTGTAGGTCAAAAATAAGTGATTTTTGTCAAAAATCATTAGAAAGATAAGTAATTATTATGTTCTATGAAGGTATCTTGTACATTTCCTATAGTAATTGCATAAAAACCTGTATTTTTTTATTAAAAACATGTATTATTAAGCAGATTTTTTCTTTTCAGATTCACAAACACACAAATAATGTCCTATCCTGTCCTATAGATCAATGAAAAGTTAATTTTGTCAGCTTTTATGCTGTATTTCACCCCAATATTGTCCTATAACAAACCATACATCAATGAAAAGCTAATTTCTTCAACTTTCACATGATATACACATCTCAGTTTAAAAGAAATATGGCTAATTCTATGGTCCAGGGTCACATACAGTATATGCTCTAAATTAGTTTTTAAACCCGCTGATGTAGTGATCACATGCAGAAAAGAGAGTTTGAGATTCCTGTCCATTTTTGTCAATAGAAAAAATATACAAAGTCTTTCTCAAATATGAGTGATTTTGTTAAAAATCATTAGAAAATGAAGTACAAATCATATTCTATGAAGGAATTTAGTAAATGTCCTACTGTAATTATATCAAAAACTAGATTTTTCTATTAGTAATGTTTTTTATTGTTATGCTGTTGTTTTTCTTTCCAGATTTAAAAACACTTTAATAATACCCTATCCATCATGGAAAAGCTAGTTTGGTCAGATTTTATGCTGTATTTCACTCAAATATTATCCTATAACAAACCATACATCAATGAAAAGCTAATTTCGTCAGCTTCCATGTAATGTCTACCATTTTAATTTACAAATATGGCTATTTTTGTGGTCCAGAGTCACATATATCCTCTGGATTAGTTTTTAAACTGGCTGATGTAGAGAAAACATCCAGCAAAGGGTTTGAGACTCCTGTCAATTTTTGTCAGTAGAAAAATATACACTGTTGGTCAAAAATAAGTGATTTTTTGTCAAAAATCATTAGAAAAATAAGTAAAAATCATGTTCTATGAAGGGATCTTGTACATTTCCTATTGTAATTATATCAAAACCTGTATTTTTTATTAAAAACGTGTATTGTTAAGCAGATTTTTTCTTTTCAGATTCACAAACACACAAATAATGTCCTATCCTGTCCTATACATCAATGAAAAGTTAATTTTGTCAGCTTTTATGCTGTATTTCACCCCAATATTGTCCTATAACAAACCATACATCAATGAAAAGCTAATTTCTTCAACTTTCACATGATATACACATCTCAGTTTAAAAGAAATATGGCTAATTCTATGGTCCAGGGTCACATATATGCTCTAAATTAGTTTTTAAACCCGCTGATGTAGTGATCACATGCAGAAAAGAGAGTTTGAGATTCCTGTCCATTTTTTTTAATAGAAAAAAATATACACAGTCTTGCTCAAATATGAGTGATTTTGTTAAAAATCATTAAAAAAAATTAAGTAGAAATAATATTCTATGAAGGAATTTAGTAAATGTCCTACTGTAATTATATCAAAAACTAGATTTTTCTATTAGTAATGTGCATTGTTAAGCTGTTTTTTTTTTTCTTTCCAGATTTAAAAACACTCAAATAATATCCTACCCTATCCATCATGGAAAAGCTAGTTTGGTCAGATTTTATGCTGTATTTCACTCAAATATTATCCTATAACAAACCATACATCAACGAAAAGCTAATTTCGTCAGCTTCCATGTAATGTATACCAGCTTAATTTAAAAATATGGCTATTTTTGTGGTCCAGAGTCACATATATCCTCTGGATTAGTTTTTAAACTGGCTGATGTAGAGAAAACATCCAGCAAATGGTTTGAGATTCCTGTCAATTTTTGTCAATAGAAAAATATACACTGTAGGTCAAAAATAAGTGATTTTTTGTCAAAAATCATTAGAAAAATAAGTAAAAATCATGTTCTATGAAGGTATCTTTACAATTTCCTATTGTAATTATATCTAAACCTGTATTTTTTTATTAAAAACATGTATTGTTAAGCAGATTTTTTCTTTTCAGATTCACAAACACACAAATAATGTCCTATCCTGTCCTATACATCAATGAAAAGTTAATTTTGTCAGCTTTTATGCTGTATTTCACCCCAATATTGTCCTATAACAAACCATACATCAATGAAAAGCTAATTTCTTCAACTTTCACATGATATACACATCTCAGTTTAAAAGAAATATGGCTAATTCTATGGTCCAGGGTCACATATATGCTCTAAATTAGTTTTTAAACCCGCTGATGTAGTGATCACATGCAGAAAAGAGAGTTTGAGATTCCTGTCCATTTTTTTTAATAGAAAAAAATATACACAGTCTTGCTCAAATATGAGTGATTTTGTTAAAAATCATTAAAAAAAATTAAGTAGAAATAATATTCTATGAAGGAATTTAGTAAATGTCCTACTGTAATTATATCAAAAACTAGATTTTTCTATTAGTAATGTGCATTGTTAAGCTGTTTTTTTTTTTCTTTCCAGATTTAAAAACACTCAAATAATATCCTACCCTATCCATCATGGAAAAGCTAGTTTGGTCAGATTTTATGCTGTATTTCACTCAAATATTATCCTATAACAAACCATACATCAACGAAAAGCTAATTTCGTCAGCTTCCATGTAATGTATACCATCTTAATTAAAAAATATGGCTATTTTTGTGGTCCAGAGTCACATATATCCTCTGGATTAGTTTTTAAACTGGCTGATGTAGAGAACACATCCAGCAAAGGGTTTGAGACTCCTGTCAATTTTTGTCAATAGAAAAATATACACTGTAGGTCAAAAATAAGTGATTTTTTGTCAAAAATCATTAGAAAAATAAGTAAAAATCATGTTCTATGAAGGTATCTTGTACATTTCCTAATGTAATTATATCAAAACCTGTATTTTTTATTAAAAACATGTATTGTTAAGCAGATTTTTTCTTTTCAGATTCACAAACACACAAATAATGTCCTATCCTGTCCTATAGATCAATGAAAAGCTAATTTTGTCAGCTTTTATGCTGTATTTCACTCCAATATTGTCCTATAACAAACCATACATCAATGAAAAGCTAATTTCGTCAACTTTCACAAGATATACACATCGTAGTTTTAAAAAATATGGCTAATTCTATGGTCCAGGGTCACATATATGCTCTAAATTAGTTTTTAAACCCGCTGATGTAGTGATCACATGCAGTAAAGAGTTTTGTGGCCCCTCGCTGTTGTCCTCGTACAGTAAAATGCGGATGTAAAGACTTGAGTAACGTTAAAGCAAACAGCTCAATGCCACACAGTGTCTGACTCCAGTTCCCTACATGATGAGCACTATCATCATCACCTCCAGCAGAGACAACACGCCGGTTTCACACGAAACTAGTGAATTAAAAGTGTTTACAATACCTGGGATACCTACAATTCACTTTGAAAGGGTTGGTCTGTTTTCGTCTTGACATATTATCCCAGACTCCCGGATGGAAAAAAGTCGAATCTCTTTCTCCGATCCGACTGATGTGTGGGGGGAAAACAAGATGCTTTCGGTCAATCCAAATGCTATAGAAACAAAATATCCAGTAAACACAACGCTCCGAGCGGGCAGAACTGAACACTAGTCGGCTACATTGGCCGGCGCGATTGGGTTCATTTGGCTAAATGGGAATTAACGATCGTTTTTAGGTAAACGGACATCTTGGTCTCGCGCGCGTTCATGTCGATAGAGGTCGGTTCTCCAAACAGGAGAGGTCTGGGAATGGTGTGAAAGCCTGCGCCACTGTAGCCGGGCAAATGCACTGCAGAGACTCTCCACCGACATGCATTTCAAGCGATGAAGTGAGAAGAATGACTAATGTTATCATCATCTGCCGCTTGATGCTTATGAACGCACCATTGTGTTCCTGCGGGGGGCGCTACGCGGCTCAGTTAACTCACCTGCCTGTTAACATTTGTTGAATTCTCGGTATGATGTTTTGGGTGTTTGGAAACCTTTATGCGCGTGTTAACGTTATCAGCGGTATCTTGCAATTTGACTCGTTTGTACCTAATATTTAAAGAAATGTCGGCTGTTGAATTTAATGAGGAATTACGAAATAGCGTATTTTCTAGGGGAACTGTGATTGGTTCATTCGTAACAGCGAAGAGAAAAGTAACAAGCGTCAGTTGTTCTCGCAAAACCGTGTTTTGGCTGTAGAAACGTGTGCGTGTTTACGTTATCATCAGTATCTTGCCATTTTGCTCGATTTTACTTAACAAAGGAAGCTGCAGAATTTACTCAAGGATTGTGAAATGGCTTGTTTTTAAGAGGGAAATTTGATTGGTTCATTTTTATCAGTGGTGAGAAAAGTAACAAGTATCACGTGTACTCGCAAACCCGTGTTTTGGCTATTTTTAAATATGTATGTGCGTGTTGATATAATCATCTATATTTTTTCAATTTGTCATGAAATACAAAAGAAACCAGACTGCAGAATTTCATATAGAATAATTAAATACCTAATTTTCTAAGTGAACAGTGATTGGTTCGTTCTCAACAGTGGTGTGAAAATTAACGATGGTCAGTACAGCAATGCTACAAAAAACTACACGTTTTTAAAATAAAATCACACCGTGGCTGTTAAATTGAAGCCAATATTAAATGCCTTTTGCATATTGCTAAAAATAATTTTTAAACACAAAAATAGGCTACATATTGGCTAGGTAATAGTGTTTGTTGAATGACGTATAGCTTAAATAATGATTGTGCAAATCATGTAAATGTATTCTTATAATGAGCTAAACAGTTTTTCGGCTTTAAGATTATGAATGCCCTCCGCTTTCCTCCACCCCGCTGTTAATAACGATTTTTGCTACTTCTTTTCTAGTAGTTTTCAATTTCTATTATTATAAGACTTTGGTTTTCTTAAGGAAACGACGAAGCGTATTATGGGATATACTTACGTGGATGTGGAGGACAACTCACGACTTTTCTTCACTTATGTGTGGGCCTTAGATTGTAACAACAAATCAATCAATCAATCAATCAATCAATCAATCAATCAATCAATCAATCAATCTATCTATCTATCTATCTATCTATCTATCTATCTATCTATCTATCTATCTATCTATCTATCTATCTATCTATCTATCTATCTATCTATATCTGTTTAATGAATATCTTTCTTGTACTTAATGTAATAAAAGAGCATGGGTAAATAATAAAAAAGCTTGAGGTTTTATTCCCAAGGAATGGAATTACTGACAAATTATGTATATGCAGTTTTATTCCTGCATATGGATGAAATCCTATTAATCCTATTAATCCTATTAATCCCTGAAATCCTTTCATCCTATGGATGAAAGCGCCTGCCAAATGCATTGATGTAAATGTAAGGAATATTTGTAAAACATATGACAAAATATAAATTTGACATTTTTCCATTACACTTTGATAATTATTCTACCAAGTTCAAAATCAGCATTTCATTTAAAAAAATATTCGGAGATGAAGCAAATAAATGCCTTTACTATATATATATATATATATATATATATATATATATATATATATATATATATATATATATATATATATATATATATATATATATATATATATATATAACTATCTTGACATTTTAACAGTAAAACATTTTCATATTTCATGTCGGAAACGAGTGGTAAAATAATTCTGATTACATGTACCTAATTTGATTTGACCACATATGTGTATATAAATATGAGAAAAAGTAATTTACTTTAATTGTACCTTGTGTTTATCAATTTAAACCATTCAGTAATGCCACAGTTATGCTTAAAAATTAAACTTGCACAAAAAGAGACCACAAAATAGGACATACACACAATGAACGAAAAATGCATTTCTGTCCTGCCAAAAGAAAATTCTCCATGTCTTAAAAAACTAAAACAAAAAACATACTTACCTTTTATGCACACAATTACTAAAGACAATGTTAAGCTTTAAGAAGAGTTTTTTTTTTCTAGATCATTCAGATTCTGGCATTGCTGAATTTGATGCCTTCAGTATTTTAATGTTAGCCATAAAACCAACATCTGGA